AAGATCTTGATGAAGAATAACTTTTATTACAGAATAGTAGTGACAAAGTACATGTAGTACCTTGGGTTCAACGGAGTCAGACTGAACCCCGAACATCCTAAGCTCAAATATTTTATACACTTAGAGTTTACCCTCAATGTAAAGGAAGTTGCTCCTGTTGTTACAGCTGTGGTCTGTATGTTAATTAAGTTCTGACACCCCTTTTTTCTGAGGTGGTTCTCAGTGTCCCACACCTGCTCCCATTCTACAATTGGTCACCATTTGCTCAGGATGTGATCATCCCAAGTGATCTACAAACAACATAACTGTTGATTTTCTTCTTCTCTATAATAATTAAGCCATTTTGGGAAATGAGCATGATCAAACATATTGTGTTTGATTATAAATTATTAGTTATAAATTAAATGTTTAACCAGCAAGGCTTTAAAACACAATTTTTATTTTAAATGAATTAGTGCAGTGTCCCGTGAGTGTAACTCTACCGCTGAGTTAACATTTGATGTGAATGTATGTCGCGTTGTACAGTATATTGAGACAGAGGTGCCAGAACGGCAACTGATAGAATGTGCGCTGTAGCGCGATACTATGATATTTCTTCAAAAGCAGATTGTGGAGACTTTTAATCGTCCACAATCAAAAATCGTGATATCGTACACCCCTACTTCAGGCCATTTGCTATGATAGTCCATAAGGGTTAAGGCATAATGGCAGTCCCAGTTATCCGACTCAAATGGGCCCACTACATCCAACACTAGTTTTCTCCACGGCTCAGCAGGAAAAGGCACAGGCTGCAGTGGGGCAGGGTGTATTTTTGCGGTTTTGTCCGACATTTGACACAGTTGACAAGAGGAGATAATACGTGTGACAGAGTCATCCATCCACGGCCACCAGTATAGATCATGTAGCCACTGCTTTGTGCGTACGATGCCCTGGTGCCCCTCATGTGCAAGCATCACTAACCTATGACGTAAGGATACAGGTGCAATGAGACGTAATCCCCTCAGGATGAAGTCGTCTGTTGCAGATAATTCATGTCTCAGTTTGTATAAACACATTTAATGTCTGTGTCATTCATACTGGACGCAAGAGGGCGCCCTCGCCAGAAACTCCACATGTGCATCACAGAAGGAATAGAACTCCGGAAATCCCTAATATGGACAAAGGCATTGCTATCGCTGTAACTGAGTAAACAGAAGATATAAACATTTTGAATGATAAAACAAAGACAATAAACACTCGACTGCGACAATGTATAGTTTATCTGTGTTATTCAAGCCACCTTTGGTATTTTCATTATAATTAAGCATATTTATAATATAATCCATTGCTAATCGACATAGCCTTTTACCATATGCTTTTTACAGCATAGAACATATTTTCTGCCTCATTCTGTGACAAGAAGCCACATCAGATCACAAAAGGAAGCAGTTGTGGAGTAAAAACGTTAGTGTTCTCTTTTGTTGGACAACAGGTTTAGAAACACTTCTCATTGCAAGTCATTACAAGGGAAGTTTAGCTTTAGGCAATTTAATTTCAGAATGTTTTGCTTAGCTAGCTAACTGCCATCAGAGCAAGTGTAATTGCTGCAGTCACACACTCCTCGGATGCTCTCATTTCCCGAGTTGTGCTTTTAAGTCGGAATGTGAAAACAACATGGACATTCGCGTTACTACAAAGATGTGTTGGATTTGTATTATTAGAGCTTTCCGACTTGCGATCGTGAATTTTCTCAGTCAGGAAATTATTTTCACGTGCGGTGCCGGTGATCCTTACGTCTGTTTCAGAGAACCAGAGAACAAATATTTAAATCGATCACTCAAGCATTTAAGTGGCACCCAAAAGAGGCACCGCAGTCTGTGTTCTGATTCGGTTCTACTACATACCGGTTACATAGGTATGGCACCAGGTTTCGGTACCTAACCCTACTCGGGACAGGAGGAAGAAGCAGCTGCAAACTCTTTCTGGGTCACAGCAGTCAGCGCAGAGGTAAGCAAAGCTACTTGTTCTGGATCATTGTCTGAATCACTTTCCAGGGGTTCAGAAGGCAGAGGAAGACGAAACACACAGTCGGCAGTGAAGTTATGACAGCGCGTGATCCGTACAGCCTAGTAGTACATGCTAGTAATCCTGAAAGCAGTTAAGTCTCTACTATCAGGGTGCAACATGACCTGATGGTACGCTCTTTGAAGATCAATAGTCAAGAATAATGTAGCCCCACTAAGTAGTGAGAGCAACTCATATGTGGTAGTTCATATGTGGCAGTGGATAACTGTCAGTCATGATAGCTTTATTGGGTTCTCTAAGATCGACACAAGTGAATGCCACCCATTTTCTTTTGTGTGACAACGATCGGGGAAACCCAGGGAGACGCATCCATTTTTTCAATTACCCCTTCTTTGAGAAGGTGATCCAACTCTTTGGAAACAGCAGAGCACACAGACAGAGGTAAGCGGCACAGTTTTTGATGGACCAGAGCAATATTTCCAGAGGTGTGGCTGGTTCTGAAAGGCACATTACAGCAGCAGAAGGAACCTGAGATCCAGTTGTAAGAAAGGGAGAAAGCAAGCGTTGACCCTCGAAGCACAGGTGTAATCCTTTTACTAGATCCATGCCCAGCAATGCAGTGCCTGAATCAACTGTGAAAAGTTTTGCGGAACATGTGGCAGTATCTCTAGACACAGTTATGGGTAAGCAACCCAATACTGGGATCGGTGCAAGTGAGTATCTGACCGGGCAAGCAATAGGTGTCTGAAGAGGCACAGAATTAAAATTGGCATCGTATATTGACTTTGGCTGGAGACGGATGAGCCAGTATCCCCCATCAACTAAACCTCTACAGTATCAGAAGCTGTTATGGAAACAGGGCAAACAATCTTAATTGTTGATTGTCATGCATGAAAAGAACAGTACTCAGGCAGTTGGATCTCATGCAATGAACTTGTGTCAGTCGATCGACACACATGGGCAAAATGTCCCATTTTCTTGCAATTTTTACATTTTGCACGGATAGCAGGGCAGTGTTGTGCATTGGCCAAATGTTTATCAGACCCACAGCGGTGTAATATGATCATATTTTCTTGACCTGGTAAGGACTCTAGCCGCTGCATTTTGGACTACCTGTAGCTTGTTTATTGTAGATGCAGGACAACCACCTAGCAGTGCATTACAATAGTCCAGTCTAGAGGTCATGAATGCATGAACTAGCTTTTCTGCATCAGAAACAGGTATCATGTTTCGTAACTTTGCAATGTTTCTAAGATGGAAAAATGCTGTTTTTGTAACATGGGAAATATGATTTTCAAAAGACAAGTTGCTATCTAATATAACACCCGGATTTTTGACTGTAGAGGAAGTAACCATACATCCGTCTAGTTGCAAATTGTAATCCACGAGATTCGGTGTACTGTCTTTTGGTCCAGCGGTAGCATGTGCAGGAAAACGATGTTGACAATAAAGAGCCAGAGGAAGAAGGCTTGGGGTGTTTGTGTGATACGTTATGCCGCCTCCGACCCGCAGCATCATGTGACTGAGACTGTACGGCTTGCACAGATATAGCCTGGTCCCCTGCGATACACTTTGCTTGTTCACTCGCAGCCTCAATCTGAGTAGCGATTGTAATTGCCTTTGATAAGGTCAAATCAGTTTAAAAAAACAGCCTTTCACGTATGTGGTGACTTGCCACATGTTTGATTAAGTGGTCCCTGATCATGTCATCTGTATTAGTGCCAAACTCACATTTGGAATCCAAGTCTCTTAAAGCTGCAAAGTAATGTAGGACTGATTCTCTGTACATTTGCGAAATGTGTGTCTCTCCGCTACTAAGTTGATTTTAGGGTTAAAGGGTTACTTCACCCCAAAATTTTAATTTTGTCATTAATCACTTACCCTCATGTCGTTCCAAACCCGTAAAAGCTTTGTCCGTCTTCGGAACACAATTTAAGATATTTTGGATGAAACCTGGGAGGCTTGTGACTGTCCCATTGACTGCCAAGTAAATTACACTGTCAGGGTCCAGAAAAGTATGAAAGACATCGTCAAAATAGTCCATCTGCCATCAATGGTTCAATCTGAATTTCATGAAGCGATGAGAATACTTTTTGTACGCAAAGAAAACAAAAATTATGACTTTATTCAACAATTTGTCTAATCCGCATCACCGTAGCGCCTTTTTGGAGAGTATCCACTGAACGTAAACTGCGTATACGGTTCTACTTGTCTGTGTCAGCCGCACCACACTGATACGTTTTCTACATTTATTTACACTTTGATTTGAACGAAAACAGCGTATCTGTGTGCTGAGGCTGACACAGAACAGTATTCGCAGTTTTGGATACTCTCCAAAATGGCGCTACGGTGACGCGGAGGAGACAAATTGTTGAATAAAGTCGTTATTTTTGTTTTCTTTGAGTACAAAAAGTATTCTCGTTGCTTCATGAAATTCAGATTGAACCACAGATGGCAGATGGACTATTTTTACGATGTCTTTCATACTTTTCTGAGCCTTGACAGTGTTATTTACTTTGCAGTCAATGTGACAGTCACAAGCCTCCCGGTTTTCATCCAAAATATCTTAAATTATGTTCCGAAGACAAACGAAGCTTTTACGGGTTTGGACGACATGGGGGGATTAATGACAACATTTTCATTTTGGGGTGGAGTAACCCTTTAAAGTCTGTAAGACAGCAATCTCCGAGTCCAGTGTGTCACCTGTGTCGGGAAGAGTTTAGAAAATTCATTGCTCCTCATTTCCAAGGCAGTAAAGTAGAAGAGCTCTTTTTCTCACCTCGGTCCACTCATCACCGGATGCATTAATCACTAAACATTTTCTCCCATGTTGTAAGTGATATGGCTGGCTCTCCCGGGTATGGGAGGAAGGGGCTTGGAAATGGAGTGTTTACCGTAGACATCCTTCGTCAATTTTGTGTGCAGGCGTTCAGCATCCTCGTTGCCAATTTTGTTATGTCTTATACAGACGAAATTAGACACAGGGAAGTACGATACAACTCAGATGATTCTCTTTAATATTCACATGCAACAGCACAAACAAACACATACTTCTTCCAACACTTCTTCACTTTCCCCCACTACTCTTCTCTCCCTCTTACTTCCACCCCGCAGCGACACCTAGTGTCAACAAAATAACATGGTGGCAAAGCTGAATTTTCAGCAGCCATTATATAAATGTCTTTATTGTCACTGCTGATTAATGTGTCCTTGCTGAATACAATTACAAATTTCTGGCAAAAGTGAATTTAACAGCCTGTGTGAAATGCGCTAGGCTGTACTACTTGTTACTCTCATACCGCGCCAGTACAAATACGTGCACGCGTAGCACGTTTCAGATGAAAAAATCTTCGAATCTTCGCGACTTCTATTTCTGAAAATATAACAGTTAGGATATTTATAACGAGTGGTTCCCTGCAGTATTACAGCAAAAAAAATGAACAGTGAAAGTAACAAAAACTTGTAAAATACATTTTAATGGGCATAATTAAGTGTGAAAATAACCGAAGGATATACAGTCAAACCAAAAATTATTCAGAGACCAGATATAATTTTTGGTATTTGTTTTACTAGTGGGTGCAGGACACTATAGTTAATTTATGTAAGTGAGGATAGCAAAATAAAGTAAACTGTGACAAATCATACCACAAAATTCTTCATACAGTGGACTACCAGTTAAATTTATACAAATTTGGGACCAAAAATTATTCAGACCGAGTCTGGGAAAAAAATTTAAGTTGAGGTTTGCATGAACCTGGATGACAGCATGCCCAGGAGACTAAGGCTAAGGGTTGCCCGACTAAGTATTGATAATTGTGTAAATACTGTCATACTAACAGCTGTCTGAATAATGTTTGGTTGATTGTAATCCATTACATACCTTTCTATCAAAGTTATCTAACATTATCAAGCTCACAGTTTAACTCTGAGTTCTTTTATTTAATTTTATTACCATTTTCTAAACTATAGCGAATAAACTGTGATAATGTGAGAAATGTTGAAGGTGTCTGAATACATTTTGGTTTGACTGTATCTATTTGATAAATGAAGTTAACCAACTAACATTATACATACTCTTTTGGTTTCTGTACCCAATATTAAAAAAATGTAATCTGCAAGTACCAAAAATAAAAGTATCGTATCGGGCGAGTACTGGAAAAAGTGGTATCGGTGCATCCCTAATATTCAAGGTTACATAAATGCCTTAAACACTGATCTTTAATTGTGTAAAGGTCACAACTGGCACAAATATCTTGTAAGCCAAAACCTTGAATACAATCTTCATTCTAGCAGCTAATACATTGTCTACATGTTTGTTTAGGTTTGATATCAAAACCGGATAAAGCCCAAGTGATTTAAAAAATGCATGTAAACACAGTTTACGTTCATTGTGGGGTGTTTATCAAGAGCTGATGGTTATCAGAGTGTTGCTGTTTATTTGAATGTCACGCATTGTCTACTGTTTTCATTATCATTATTAATTAGTTGTTGCAACCCTAATATTTGGGTAATTTTGGAGTGTTGATAGCACTTTTTGATTCTAGAAATATGTTGAACCGGTTAAAGCAAGGCTATGTAAATTGTCCCAGAGAGTAAAGAACATTTCAATGATAAAGCCACATCAAAAAGGTTGAAGCTTTTCCCATTGCATCAGAATGGCTCTGGTCTCACATCTCTGTTCCTCTGGGGCCGCGTATAGCTCCCTCGTTTTCTCTCCAGTGCACTGATTGTCCTTGATCAAACCTCCCATTAGTTCTCCTCTCCCGAGCCTTATCAGACCCCTTACTTTTTAGCCGGCCAAAATATTTCTCACCGTTACCCTGGAAACAAGACATGTAGCACGTTGTATGCTGCAGGAGTGTGGGTGTCCGTGCCCAGCTTCCTTTCTCTCTAATCCAGTGCTTTCAGAGAAAGGATTCATTCTAGTATGCATAGAAATCATTCGATTTTGGGAAGATGTGACAGGGAAAAGGATAAAAAGGAGGGAACAGTGAGTACCAGCATCAACCACATGGTAGACTTCACATGCCCCTCCCAGAGAGAGGAACGTACCAAACAAAACATCACTAGCATTACTTTATTTGCATTCATCCACTTAATAACTAATAGCATAAGGTCCGAGTCAGAAATTAATGGGAGCTTTAGGCAAAAATGTTATTGTACGTGTTCTAGGAATTTAAGATTCAGTTGGACATTACTGTAAAATAAACTGTCAAGATGAGTAAGTAACCACCCAGAACATCCTATAGCAGTCACATGCTGAAAACTACTCAGAGTACCTTAGCAACCATCCACAACGCCATAGCATTGTGGTTGTGAGTCTTGCATGAGCAAACAGTCCTCTTTCTTAAAGGGATAGTTTACACAAAAATGAAATTCCTATTTTCATTTACTCACCCTCATGTTGTTTCAAACCTGCATGGCTTTCTTTCTTCTGTGGAACATATGGAAATATGTGACGTTTATAAATGACATGAGAGTGAGTATCTAATAACATAATTAAAATTTTTGGCTTGCCTGTCACTTTAAGGAAAGGTAAAAAATCATGTTAGAGATATTGTTGGTTTAATCTTGTATGCATGAGCAAACAGTCCTCTTTCTTAAAGGGATAGTTTACACAAAAATGAAATTCCTATTTTCATTTACTCACCCTCATGTTGTTTCAAACCTGCATGGCTTTCTTTCTTCTGTGGAACACAAAAGAACATATTTTGGAGAATGTTAATACATTTTGGTGACAGTTGACTTCCAAAATATCCTTCTAAAATATTTCTCAAAATATATTTTTGTTCCACAGAAAGAAATATGTGACGTTTATAAATGACATGAGAGTGAGTATCTAATAACATAATTAAAATTTTTGGCTTGCCTGTCACTTTAAGGAAAGGTAAAAAATCATGTTAGAGATATTGTTGGTAATAATGGAGGTAATAATTATTTGATTCAGTTGAAAGACAAAAGATGACCTCTTTGAGGTAAAAAAAAATTCTTGAAAACTCCACTCCATCATCTTAGACTGTATGAAATGGTTAGATTATTGTCTTACTCTATAGACTCAGATATGAAATCTGAAATGTTTGTTATTTTATTAACCCTTAAATGCATACCTCGGGTCTTTAGCGACCCCGGTACATCATTCTCTACCCTCTCCCTCCTTAATTGTTTTAAGTTAGACATCAACTTTCTTAGTATTCCTCAATCTATTAATTATAAACAATATAACAGGAAAAAAAATTGTAAAATATAAAAGAATGCCAGTTTTCTGATAAATTTTTTGTAAAAATGTATAGAGTCCCGAGGTATGTAAATGTGTAAGTATTTTTTCCTGCGCAACTATATTTACATATCTGGTGACTCAATATGTGCAATGCATAATTTTTCCTCAAGGTGTCACTGTTTGATACACAATGATGACGTGACATTTCACTCATAATTACGGCAGGCATAAAACAAACGAATATCATCAGAAAAATGTAACTGATTTGAATGGCTTTACTGCAAAGCAATTACTATACGCAATGAAATATAAATGTCACTGTCATTTGATGCTGAATGTGGTGAATAAGCTGCCAGTGATCAAAATATTGAATATGAAGTCATTGAAAACGATAGTTTTGAGAATATGTTTGAGATCGTGAACATGAGGCAGATGCTGAATGTACTGTGGATGTGCGCTCTGACGATGACAGCGATGGTAAAATCATCTGCTCAAATTGAACCCTTTTAAGTTTCAAAAGGTTACGAAATATGCTTTATTTTATTCTTCTGTAATTGTTCTTAAAATATCAAGAGAGTTTTTTGCTATTGCAGCAGTTAGAGATCCATCCGTGCTGGATATATTGGTCCGGGTCGCTAAAGACCCGAATATGTAATAATGATTGGCGAAACATTCATGCATTTAAGGGTTAAGAAGGGTGTGTGTATCCTTATCTAACCCTTATGTCCTACTTATTCTGTGTGCTCTCATCATCAGGTTAACACTCTTTTATCTCAGCACAACCTGTACTCAATATCTACATGACTATCAAGGCTTGAAAGGATCGTACATGATCAAAACAATGTTGCTTTAAAGGGGTCATATGATGTTGCTAAAAATAACATTATTTGGTGTAATGAAATGTGTATTTGTTGCATCCAGTGGGGACATAATTACTGATTATAATGACTTATACTGTCTTTTTACGCGTTGCGTTGCATCGCGCCGTGTCAACATAAAACCATATCTGCATTTGTGATCGGAGAAATGACAATCAACAAGCACTATATGTGGGGGCGTGTTAGAATGAGCCGTTTTAGGTAGGCGTGGTTGAATCTTAACTTTTATAAAGAATATCTCTTTGGATTTGAGACTTTAGTCTTTGCAACTTTACAGATCTTCTTTATGCACCAAGAACTTGTAACACTCCAAAGAGAAAGGAAAAATTGAAATCGTTGCATGAACCATTTGCATGAACCATTTGACTAGAATCAGATTTAAATCAGATTTCCCAAATCTAAATACTTGAGAGACAGTTTAGGTGAGTGTGTTTGATTATTAGCTGTAAAGACATTGATAGCTGCAATGAGGCATTTAGCTGTGTGTGTGTGTGTGTGTGTGTCTACTTTGCTACCCACTTTCGTGTTTGTTCTTTCTAATTGGATAATTGAGCTTTTCTCTGCTCAGTCGCACAATATCTGTTCAGTTTGGGTGTCATAGTTGGCTTCCCATGAAACCCTTCAGTCTGCCAAAGAAGGTCATGTCCTCTAATCTGTTATGAGAGAAGCCAAGTAAAAATCCAGTCAAAGCAGCTCCAGACTGTTATCTGTGCTCATCAGATTTAGAAACGTATTTAGAAATACTTTAGGGAAGTCGTGGCCTAATGGTTAGAGAGTCGGACTCATAACCCAAAGGTTGTGGGTTTGAGTCTCGTACCGGCAGGGATTGTAGGTGGGGGGAGTGAATGTACAGCGCTCTCTCCCACCTTCAATACCACGACTGAGGTGCCCTTGAGCAAGGCACCGAACCCCCAACTGCTCCCCGGGCGCCGCAGCATAAATGGCTGCCCACTGCTCCGGGTGTGTGTTCACGGTGTGTGTGTGTGTGTGTTCACAGTGTGTGTGTGTTCACTGCTGTGTGTGTGCACTTTGGATGGGTTAAATGCAGAGCACTAATTCTGAGTGTGTCACTTCACTTTCAAATGTGTAACCTGATGAATAAGCCACACATTTGCTGATCAGCATGGCATAAGAAAGAATTTGTTAATATTTAATAACGATTAATGCATATGAGCTAACATGAACTAACAATGAATGGTTGATTTTTTGATTAACTAATGTTACCAAAGATTAATATTGTAATACTGTAACAAATGTATTTGTCATTGTTAGTTAATATTAACTAATGGGGCCCTATTTGTAAAGTGAAGATTTTTTTTTTTTGGAAGAGTCTAACCTTCTGTTTAATGCATTATGTAGACAGAGATAGTGAAAGATGTGCTTATTTGGTTGGCAATGTTAGTTTAACGGAGTCATACTCGGCATAATCAGGTGGGGGATGTTGGTTTAGCGGCGGAGAGACAGTTTAGGTGAGTGTGTTTGATTATTAGCTGTAAAGACATTGATAGCTGCAATGAGGCATTTAGCTGTGTGTGTGTGTGTGTGTGTGTGTCTACTTTGCTACCCACTTTCGTGTTTGTTCTTTCTAATTGGATAATTGAGCTTTTCTCTGCTCAGTCGCACAATATCTGTTCAGTTTGGGTGTCATAGTTGGCTTCCCATGAAACCCTTCAGTCTGCCAAAGAAGGTCATGTCCTCTAATCTGTTATGAGAGAAGCCAAGTAAAAATCCAGTCAAAGCAGCTCCAGACTGTTATCTGTGCTCATCAGATTTAGAAACGTATTTAGAAATACTTTAGGGAAGTCGTGGCCTAATGGTTAGAGAGTCGGACTCATAACCCAAAGGTTGTGGGTTCGAGTCTCTTGATTGTAGGTGGGGGGAGTGAATGTACAGCGCTCTCTCCCACCTTCAATACCACGACTGAGGTGCCCTTGAGCAAGGCACCCGAACCCCCAACTGCTCCCTGGGCGCCGCAGCATAAATGGCTGCCCACTGCTCCGGGTGTGTGTTCACGGTGTGTGTGTGTGTGTGTTCACAGTGTGTGTGTGTTCACTGCTGTGTGTGTGCACTTTGGATGGGTTAAATGCAGAGCACTAATTCTGAGTGTGTCACTTCACTTTCAAATGTGTAACCTGATGAATAAGCCACACATTTGCTGATCAGCATGGCATAAGAAAGAATTTGTTAATATTTAATAACGATTAATGCATATGAGCTAACATGAACTAACAATGAATGGTTGATTTTTTGATTAACTAATGTTACCAAAGATTAATATTGTAATACTGTAACAAATGTATTTGTCATTGTTAGTTAATATTAACTAATGGGGCCCTATTTGTAAAGTGAAGATTTTTTTTTTTTGGAAGAGTCTAACCTTCTGTTTAATGCATTATGTAGACAGAGATAGTGAAAGATGTGCTTATTTGGTTGGCAATGTTAGTTTAACGGAGTCATACTCGGCATAATCAGGTGGGGGATGTTGGTTTAGCGGCGGAGTGTAGAAATTTTTCTTTATATATATATATATATATATATATATATATATATATATATAACAACAGAATCTTGAAATGTATTAGTGATAAAATGCAATATTTTGCGAATTCTTGGAAATTTTCTAGGGTATTTTAAATTTTACATTTAAGAAGATTTAAGTATAATCACCAAAAATTCTAGAACATTATTTGAATTATTAGATATGCATAGTTTAAAATAAGCTTTTCAGCTTTGCCAAAATTTAAAGGGATAGTTCACCCGAAAACTTAAAATTTCTGTCATAATTCACTTCTGTCCTCCACAGCTGTTTGATTTTCTTTCTTATGTGAAACAAAAAAGATGATATTTAGAGTGTTAATTTTAAAATAGAGCGTGACCCTTTTTTCCCCGAACAGGAGGAATAGAGGATAGGAAGAGATTGGGGCTGTGGATCTGGAAATGGTACAAGCCAAATTCAAACGGATGTTGCCCATATGAGCACCTCATCTCAACATGTCATGTAAACTAACCATATAAATAAATAAATATTTATATAAACTACCATTCAAAAGTTTGTGGTCGGTATGGTTTTTTAAATGTTTTTGAAAGAATGTTTGTTGAATATATTTACGAAGGCTGCATTTATTTGATCAAAAGTAAAGTAAAACAGTAGTATTTTGAAATATTATTACAGTTCAAAATAACTGTTTTCTATAAAACAGTATATAACAGTATAAATTATGTTTAAATAAATTAATTATATTTATAATATATAATAAATTGTAATATATTTTAAAGTTAATTAAATATAATATATTTATATTATATTATATATTATAAATATAATATATTTATAATATATAATTATGATATATTTTAAAATATACTCTATTCCTGTGATAATTTATTCCTGAATTGTCAGCATCATCATGATCCTTCAGAAATCATTCTAATATGCTGATTTGGTGCTCAAGATTAATTTCTTATCGTTATTTAAAATTGTTTTTTATAATAATCTTACTTTTGAACAGAAGTGTAAATCAAAGTAAAATATTATAAAAAAATATTTCAACAACATTTTTTAAGTGGTGTAATCATTAATATATAAAGTTCTCACCATATATATATATATATATATATATATAATTGATGTATTTTATTTCATAACATTTGACAACCTGAAAAAAAACAGTTTTAAGTTAATTTGTTTTAGAAGCTATAATAAATGTACTACCCAGGGTTTTTTTAAAACCCTGTTTTTGTGTTAGTGAGGCCAGCAGGGGGTGCTCACCCTGTGGTCTGTGTGGGTCCTAACGCCCCAGTATAGTGATGGGGATACTACTGACAAAAAGCACCATCTTTCGGATGAGAAGTTAAACCGAGGTCCTGACTCTCTGTGGTCATTACAAATCCCAGGATGTCCTTCGAAAAAGAGTAGGGGTGTAACCCCGGCATCCTGGCCAAATTCGCCCATTGGCCTCTGACCATCATGGCCTCCTAACCATCCCCATATCTGCTGATTGGTTTCATCACTCTGTCTCCTGTCCACCAGTAAGCTGGTGAGTGGTGGGCGTTCTGGCGCAATATGGCTGCCGTCGCATCATCCAGGTGGATGCTGCACACGGTGCCGCTGAATGTTCTTCATCATCTTTAGCTTTTGATTTTGTTTTCAAATATCGCTTTTATCCGTCCGCTTAGAATAATTTTCTTCCCGACCCGACCGTTCCCGCTAAATTTAGATCTCGTTTCCAGAACCTCACATTTAAATTTCCACTACTGAAAGAGAGATAGGCTGACAAATAAAGTGTAGTCTGCACAAAATTGTGTTATTTTATTCGTGTTGTCAAGAGTCTTGAATTTATTGACTTTGACTTGAATTTATATGAATTATCTTAAGACACAAAATTCGTTTAATATTTTATGCAACACAGTAGGAAAAAAAAGTGTCAGAGAAAATAAAAATGTACAAAAATTGTATTTCTTATTTTTATTCGTCTTGTCAGGATACACTTCATTTAACATTGACAACACAATAGGAAAAAAGTGTCTCGGAGAGGGAAAAAAAAATGTAGGCTGTACAAAAATAGCCCATTAGCTGTTTTCATTCGTCTTGTCAAAATACTAAATTCGTTTGACATTTTTCTGTTAACACAGTAGGAAAAGTGTCGCAGAGAGAAATAAATAAATACGACATCTTTCATTTAAAATTATAGGCTAAGCAAAATATAAACAAAACCGAGTTGAACATCCTTCAAGGACAGCGCATCCACACTTTGCTCCATCCTTATTCTGCTCTGTCACTCATCGACAACCTGCCTGTTCTGTCTGAGGGCTGTATATATAGGCCGGTACAGCCTGCTCTGAGCATCGTTATGCACATGCTGCGCACAGACCCCGCAAATAAAACACGTGACGTTTAAAGCATGCGTGCAGCGCGTGCATAACAGTCCTGAGCGCAAGCTGTACCGGTGGTCAATAAGAATAAAGCGCATATATGTTGTTCTAAATGGACGTCGGGAACGGAATATTGTTAGACTGCCCGCTCCCGTTCAAATTACACCAGAGTTACCGACCGCTACCACGTTTTATTCGGGAATTTAATCCCGCGGCACAAAAAATCTGGTCGGTTCCCACGGTAGAGCTGCGGGAATGCAGACCTCTAATCCAAAGCGACTTACAAATGAGGACAATGGAAGCAATCAAAATCAACAAGAGGGCAATGATAATGATGATTTTAATTCAATAATCGAAAAAGTGTATTGAAAGGGATAGTTCACCCAAAAATGAAAATGTGATGTTTATCTGCTTACCCCCAGGGCATCCAAGATGTAGGTGACTTTGTTTCTTCAGTAGAACACAAACGAAGATTTTTAACTCAAACCGTTGCAGTCTGTCAGTCATATAATGGAAGTGAATAGGAATCACGGCTTTGAGAGTCAAAAAACATACACAAACAAAACCAAATTAAACCCTGTGGATTGTGACGATACATTGATGTGTAAAGACACGAAACGATCGGTCTGTGCAAGAAACTGAACAGTATTTGTATAGTTTTTTACCTCTGATTCATGCAATGTCCGAACTGTCCTGAGCGCTTTCGCGTCTTCTTCTTCAGCCGGCGCGTGACACGTCTTCTTTTTCTTGCTTTACGGCAGATTGCAGACTTGTAAGTGCATTATTGCCACCTATCTCTTAAATGGAGAGAGATAGGTGGCCATTGACACTCCTAATTGAGATTGTAGATAGAGTGTCAATGGTCCATTTGAGAGATAGGTGGCGGTAATGCACTTATAAGTCTGGGATTGCCGTAAAGCAAGAAGAAGAAGAAGACACGAACGCGTAAATCAGAGGTAAAAAAACGATATAAATACTGTTAAGTTTCTTGCACAGACCGATCGTTTCGTGTCTTTACACATCAATGTATCGTCACGAGCCGCAGGGTTTATTTTGGTTTTGTTTGTGAATGTTTTTTGACTCTCAAAGCCGTGATTCTCATCCACTTCCATTATATGACTGACAGACTGCAACGGTTTGTGTTAACTGTGTTCTACTGAAGAAACAAAGTCACCTACATCTTGGATGCCCTGGGGGTAAGCAGATAAACATAAAATTTTCATTTTTGAGTGAACTATCCCTTTAAATATGTTGTATTAATTTTTTTTTTTTTTTTTTTTTAGAAGTAATAGATCTAGACACAAAAACAGCAGTTTTTAATCATTGACCCTAACAGAAATGTTTATTTCAAGCTGTCACGCGTCTGTTATGACCTTATCATGAGCGTTCGGCATGTCATTCGTCATGAGTTTAAGTATTAGGTCAGATCTGGATGAGACACAGGCCTGTGGTCATAAAGCCTCATAAACAGCACTGGATGATAATGGCAGCCTGTGTGCGGTCAGAGAGGGTGGTCGCTCTGCGCAGACATACTGTACCATACAGCACCTGCTATTTTGAAGCTCGAGCATGTGTGACCTTTGGCAGGTGTCACAGAAAAGCTTCATCATTCTGACAACAAAGTGAGCTGCAAATCTCTTAAAAGGCCAGAAGACCAAAATAATAAAGGAGCACCTAGTGTTGTCGAATAGTCCTGGACTTCGGTACCAGGTCGATACTTAAAGCTGCAGTTCGTAACTTTTTTGTGTTCAAAATTTACAACATTTATATAATAAGCGAGTACACCATTAATCCATTTTCCAAACCGTGATTTTGGCTTGTCCTGAATCACTACGGTACACCTATAATAAGTGTTAATATTCGGACTATTTAGACTGGTTTGGGTAGGTACCGCTGCGGAGTAGCCCAGTACCTGCGTGATTCGCCATAGACATAAACAGAGAGAAGTAGCTCCGGCTACAATGTTTTTCCGCAAGACACACGCAGTTCTGTTTATTAACCGCTAGAGCACCAAAAGTTACGGACTGCAGCTTTAAATGTACGATACTTAAAACCTTTTTACTTAGTTTAAAACCCTTGCTATGGTACAATTTTTTACGCGTTACGTCAGTAGGCAGTCCTTTACTGTTTTTGTGTCAGGACAATTTGTCATAGTCAAAATGTCTCTTTCAAAAGTTGAAAGAAGTCAAAGTTATACTGAAAAAATTGTTGAATAGTTTCTAGCACTTAGCTATGTTCCTTTTTACCTAGATCTTGTAAAACCCTTATTATAAAACGAATAGTTCCGGTCCTTGATTCTGATTGACCGAGCCACGTTCGAAGCTGTTGTAAATTACTCTACAAACATACACCTTTGTTCACGTTTGTCTGCTGCTTGGCAACCACTTAGTTGCAACCACAATTATACAACACTAGTACAATGATTTGAACACAACTCTTCTGTGATTATCATATTTTTAATTTATGAATTCAAATTCATATTTTGGGGGATTAAATAAAAAAATGTCAGGGTGGTACAACTGTCTTTTTGTGTATCCATATCATCTATATTGTAATATTTCTATTTAATTTAGTTTATTTTTATTTCAGTTTTAGTACTTTAGTACTTTTTTCAGTTAGTTGCCAATTTTTGTTTAAGTTTTTCATCTAATATTTATATTTGAAAATGATTAATAATGGTTTTAGTTTCAATTAATGATAACAATGCTGTCACAATGACTTGAACACACCTCTTCTGTGATGATCATATTTTTAATTTATGATTTAAAATTTAATTTGATTTATTTTGGAGAAATACTTAATAATGTCAGGGTGGTACAACTATCCTTAAATCATAATGAAAGTCTCCGTAAAATAATGAAATTCTTAGTAATAAAAACTCAGCATAATCCATAATCCTAAACAACAACAAAAAACATTCTGTTTTTATGAAAGGGAGAGGTTATTTCAGGCTGTAAAATGTCATGTGATAAAAACCACAGTCCTACAGTTCTCATAACCTCTCATCTATTGCACTGTGATCTATCCAAACACACACACACACACGTGCACTCATCTGACCTCATCCACCACCATTGTTTTTGCACCGCTGCAAACACTACGGTTTGATTTGATACTGCTCTTTAAAGGTCCCATATTGTACACCTTTCTGGAGTTTTATTTGAGGTTTTGATGTCCTTAAGAATATATATTTGCGGAATAAGTACCAAAAACCATCTCAATATATTTTTACAGCTCCTTTCTCAGG